GGCAGACACCAAAAATCTTAAACCCCCTGACCCGGGAGGCGCAAACACTCAGGCACACCAAGGAGCCACACTCCACACCAAGTGTGGCAAGGGGAGGGAGAGGTGAAGATGTATAGCATCAAAAGAGGTCCCAGGAGAGGGGAGGAGTCAAAAGCCCCACCTGACATATACAGTCATACACAGACACATTCACACACTCCCTCCCTCATGCTCACATACACACATACAGTCTAAGACTTACAAAAATGCACGTCATACACCCACTCATGCTCCCCATACACACCCTATTCACACTGGTCCCGGTACTGCTGCACAAAGGGTACATCCATCACCGGTTCCCAGATTTCGACCCTTTCTGCTGGGGTGCTGATGAGCAGGCTCCCCCGCCCAATGCTGAGCAAAGCAACCCACCACGCCAGACCCTAACCAAATGGCCAGATCTTCCTCCTAGCCTCCAGCCCCGGTAAGCCAAGCGACAACAGAGGTGTGCTAGGACCCCTAGTCTCCCTCTGCCTGCTCCAATACAGTGTTAGTGCGTGTTGATGAGGTGTATTCCATGGCTGTGGTGAGCAGGCAGTGCAGGTATCATCTGACCTATGCCAGCTGATGCCACCACACCACCCCCAGCAGAATATATACTCCCATCCCTGCATTTGCACAACTTCCAGAATACATAAGACATAGGACATCCAGGTAAGGTTGGGTCCTCCCCCTCCGGAACAAACTCCTCTCCCTGAGCCCGGGCCAGGTGCTACCGCATGTTCCGCTTTCTTCCCGGCAGCATACATGTCAGAACCCGACCCCCAAGGCCCCGCCTTTTTAAAATTTTTCTAAATAAAGGACTTGAGTGCCTCTATCTGCTCTTGACTCAAAGAAAAGCTCAAGTCTAAATAGTCCAAAATTGATGCCAAAGCTGTTTCTAATGGGCCGTTGCCCCCTTTGTTTTTTCACTCAGTCACAGTAAAATCCCGCCTGCCAAAGTAATTACTGACTGTATTCTCCACCTCCCTTTACTCCCCCACCTGCCCAGATCTGGGCTAATATCAGATTTTAACCATAAGCCCTATCCAATAAAAATGTTTTAAGCCTAGTCTTAAAAGTAGACAAGGTGTTTGCCTCACGGACTAAAGCTGGTAGCTGGTTACAGAAGAGAGGAGCCTGATAGCTAAAAGATCTGCCTCCCATCCTATTTTTAGATATTTTGGGGAAAAACCAGTAAACCTGCAGTCTGAGAGTGAAGTGTTTGGTTAGGAACATATGGAACAATCAGGTCACTGGTGTATGATGGAGCTTTATTATTAAGAGCTTTATATGTGAGAAGGAGGATCTTAAAATCTATTCTGAATTTAACAGGCAGCCAATGTAGTGAAGCTAAGACAGGAGAGATATGAGAGCTTTATTTTTAATTCTCATCAGAACTCTAGCTGCTGCATTTTGGACAAGCTGAAGACTTTTAACTACATTCTGTGGACTTCCTGATAGTAATGAATTACAATAATGAACATGAACTAGTTTTTCAGCATTACTCCTGGAAAAGATGCTTCTAATTTTAGCAATATTCAGAAGGTGGAAAAAGGAAATCCTACAAACCTGTTTAATGTAATCGGAAGGTTGCAGGTTCGAGCCCCGCTCAGTCTGTCGCTGTGTCCTTGGGCAAGACACTTAACCCACGTTGCCTGCTGGTGGTGGTCGGAGGGACCGGTGGCGCCAGTGCTCGGCAGCCTCACCTCTGTCAGTGCACCCCAGGGCAGCTGTGGCTACATTGTAGCTCATCCCCACCAGCGTGTGAATGTGTGTGTGAATGGGTGAATGATTGATTGTGTTGTAAAGCGCCTTGAGGGGTTCCAGGACTCTAGAAGGCGCTATATCAAATACAGGCCATTTACCATAATGTGGGATTTGAATGACATGTCCTGGTCAAAGATACCAAGGTTCCTTACTTTGTTCTCGGATACTAATTTAATGCTGTTCAGGTCAGGCTAAGCTATTTCCTTTTCTGAATTTTGGGTCCAAAGATGAGAACTTCAGTCTTGTCTTCATTTAAAGCAGAACGTTTAGTCATCCAATATTTTATGTCTTCACGACAAGCCTGTAATCTACCAAATAGATTAGGTTTATCAGGGTTAATGGATAAATTTAACTGAGTATCATCAGCATAACAGTGGAAGTTTATCTCATGCTGTCTAATGCTTTTACCAATTGAAAGTGTAACGTCCAGAAATGGTCAGTTTTCACTTACATATTGACCTACATGCCACCGGTCATCTGCAGACATAAATTCCATTCTCTAAGGTGGACTTTACATTCTATCTTCCAACAAGCCCAGAAGATTCTGCAGCTCTGAACACATAACAAATTGTCAACAAACCATTCCCATTTCAAAGCCAAAGCTTCCCTTATCGCTTCTACAGGATTCCTCATGCCTCTGAATAAAATGAACACTTTTACAACTCATAAGTTAAATAAGCATTAAATAATAATATGGTCGAATGAACAAATGTTATGTGAATACTAATGTTTTGATTAATCTGTGCTTAAATTACTGTGGTTGAAATGAATTTTATTATTACAATGAAACATTTTGATGTTATGATCAGTAATGTTTGGTTTAACAAGTGAATCGTTATCTACACTCACACAATGTTCATAAGATAAAGTTAAAGTGATTTCTGCACATAGATATTTTCTTAACCATAAATCAGTGCATCCTGTATCTGAAAGAAGGCATGATGTTCTGAGGTTTGTTTGTTAACACCATCGACATACATATATGGACAATGGGTTTCCACAGGCTCCAATAATAAGTTTTTGTACTAAAATGGGAGGTGGCCACCACCGCCATTTTGACCGTGTCACAGGTTCCGTCAAGCCCAGACAATTCCGTAAAAGGTGAGGGTGGGGCTGTAAGGCTGGGATCAACTGACGACACCCGGTCGAACTAGCTACAAGTTTACCTGAAGCTAACCCAAAGCTAATGCGGAGATGGGAGCTAAGCTAACGGAGGTAGCAACCTAGCTACAACCGGAGTTAACTGTGCACAACACCAGAGCTTCTGAGTCAGAGATACGCCGGGCTGACCGCTGGGTAAAACCGGGTGGAACACAGAGGTCTCCAAGACCTCCACAAGCCGGCAGCTGCATAGCAGACAAGCGCCGCTGCGATCTGAGATGCACAGAGTTGCCTCTGTGGAGAACCGGGTGGAAAGGTTTCCATCCCAGAGCTCCACAAGCTGTCAAACCGCGCAGCACACAGAAGCCGCGATCAGA